AAAGAGTAACAATTTAATACAAATCCAATACGTTCATAAATCGTTTTAGGTTTAGTTTTAAATAAATATATTTTGTTTATCGAACATTTTGTTGTCTCAGTCAATTTTATCCCTAGTCGAGTCAGAATTATTTATACATAACATTTCAACTCTTATCGAACATCCAAGTATCGCGGATTAGTAACTCACCCATTGACTGGAAGTGTACTTTAAAATAAATATAACACACTTTGTCAAATTTACAGTACAAAAGTGCGCAGTTTCTTAATGAGATTTGACCAGAATGGACAGAAGTTGATTAATGTATATGTTACGTAATGTAACATATACATATAATGTTACATATAATGTAACAAATAATGTGAGATCAACAAAAAAAATCAAGCGAGAAACATTTGTTCATAATAAATATTTGTTTCACGAGGAAGTATTTTTAGTTTTTGTTTTTGTACGGATTGGGTCAAAAGAAAGTACCAAGTAAATATTGTCCATTTCAGCAGATAAAATCGGAGGCACCAGATGGACAATAATTTAGATGTGACGATTGGATAATATATGACTTTCCTGAAATTACCAAGTAGATATTGTCCATTTCAGCAGATATAATCGGGGGAATAAATGGACAATAATTTAGATGTGACGATTGGATAATATATGAATTTCCTGAAAGTACCAAGTAGTTATTGTCCATTTCAGCAGATATAATCGGGGGCATAAATGGACAATAATCTAGATGTGACGATTGGATAATATATGAATTTCCTGAAAGTACCAAGTAGATATTGTCCATTTCAGCAGATATAATCGGGGGCATAAATGGACAATAATCTAGATGTGACGATTGGATAATATATTAATTTCCTGAAAGTACCAAGTAGATATTGTCCATTTCAGCAGATAAAATCAGGGGCATGGATGGACAATAATCTAGATGTGACGATTGGATAATATATGAATTTTCTCAATTTTCGTGTCTGATTAATCATTTACATTTATGAGCCTCAAGAGCAAGCAGCAACTAAAATAAAGGAAACTGTATTTGATTACTTCTTTTGGTCCATCTTCCATGAGCCCTAAACGCCATCTTCTGACAGAAATCAACTGGCTTAAAGAGAACGAGTTGACCAATCTTCATGTTTTATTTAGAGTTCATATTGTTAGTATTACTATTATATCAACATAAAACACAAACATATTCGCAATTGGGCTCCGCAATGGACATAACATATACTTCAAACCACACACAATGCTAATCACCATAAATAACCTATTATCTACTCAAGATAAAGGCATAAACGAAAAAGAAAGATATAAGCTGGAAAATAACTGTCCTAAATAACTGATATTTGTTGCTTGATTGCTAGTCACGATATTTCCCAAATGATTACAAAGAAATTCATATCACGTAGAATTGCAGACTTCCACAGTTTATGGTTTAATAATGGCACGAAAGAGCAGCCTTTTTCTTAAGTGTCCCATTACAGAAACTACTGAATCGTGACGTGCACGCTCTGTGCGTGAAAGAAGAGGAAACGGTAGAATAATAACCAACTTTACATGTAAAGCATCTGATATCCCCTTGCAGACAGTTTCTATAAACGGCAAAAAACAACTTATGAAATGAAGAATATTTACTGGAAATTATCACATACAATTAGGGTATTTTAACAATGCCAAAACGTTTTATTACGCTAAAACTCGTGACAACTGGAGGTGTATTTTTTTTCCCTATTTTCAGGATACTTTTGATACAGGAGTTGTTTTTGATTTAACCGTCAGTCCAACTTGTTAGTCCGCGTGCTGTTGGGTAACCTTGTTTAATTCTAATGGAATGGCGCTCTTCTTTGTATTTTCAATTTCTAAGCTGTTGGGAATCTTAACACTGTGTTAAAGTTATTTTAACACTGTTTCAAATTTATCTTAACACAGTGTCAAAGTTATATTAACACCATGTTAACGTTATTTTAACACTATGTCAAAGTTATCTTAACACAGTGTCAAAGTTATTTTAACACTGTGTCAAATGTGCCTTAACACTGTGTTAAAATTATTTTACCACTCTATCGAAGTTATCTCAATACTGTGTCGAAGTTGCCTTAACATTGTGTTAAAGTCGTCTGTGCTATTTGAATATGTGACAGATTATTCTTTATCAAGGTTGACCATTTCAGTAAAATATAGGGGATTCAAATTTCAGTGCTTCTCTTCCAGTCACTACTAATTTTGATTTACACTCGCAACTTTTATAAATTGGAAGCTTTGTTCAATGGCTACTGACAAACTTATTAGCTTTAGTGCAGTCTTTTTATAAATTGGAAACCTATTCAGTAGCTTCTGACATACAAGATAGCCTTAGTGCAGTCCTTATTATATGATGAAACTTTGCTCAGTGTCCTCTGACAGACATGTCAACATTAATGCAATCCTTTTTATAATCTTGAAGCTTTTCAGGAGCTACTGATAAACTTTATAGCTTTAGTGCAGTCTTTGTTATAAACTAGAAAGTTTTATTTAGGAGCTACTGACAAACTTGATAACCTTAGTGCAGTCTTTGCTATAAACTGGAAGTTTTGTTTAGGAGCTACTGACAAACTTGATAACCTTAATGCAGTCTTTGTTATAAACTGGAAGTTTTGTTTATGAGCTACTGACAAACTTGATAACCTTAGTGCAGTCTTTGTTATAAACTGGGAGAAATACAGAGTGACCTTCTCGAGTAGCCTCAAAAACTCTCATTACATGAAGGGGTTTTCGCGCGTTTTTTATCTTTGAGATGTATGAATGAAAGTAGTAATGATTATTTTCTGTAGCATTCCATAACTGAACAAAAGTTCATTGAAGTCCATTAAATGCGTATATACAGGCATTTTGACAGTTGTGTCTAATTATTATAACCTCTTATTATAAACCAAAAACTCTTATCTAATCTAAAATATACAATATTTAATAATAAAAATAAGAAGTGTATAAGTACAGCGAACAGAGATATTTTCTATGAAAAAATTAACACTGCATGCGATCTATTTTTGTTTCAGCTTAACCGTATCGTCGATTTAAGAGTCTTAGTGGTTGTTGTGCCGGACTGCGTGTCGGAAAGTCGAATGTTCGAACTTTTGATATGCTATTAAATACGCTTCGCACTCCCAACTGTGGGCGCGATATAAAAGTAACAGCCAGTCCCGTTTTTCAGTTTAGTGTAGGCACCTAATCCGCGGCAGTTAGCAATTCTATAATTTTGGGATAGCAGCGCTCAAACCTCGTGTTCTCTAGTTTTGACTAAAATAAATATAAATGGCAGTTTTTTCTTGTAATAAATACACAATTGTTCAATAGTTTGTTCACCAAAGCAATAACTTATACACATATAATTTTCTGCAAGCCTTAGTTTTTCTAGTTTCTGAAACTCACTAATAACGATGATTGTATAGAACATTACTAATTAAAGTCTTTTGAATTATTTAATAATCTATCTTTTATTAATATTATTTTAAAACACAGCTATCACGAGAACCATTCTTTAAAATCTTGAATAACGTGCTGAAAAGAAAGCGGTTGTCGATATGATACTATATAATTATTATCACTATCATAAATACTTACAGAGGGAGAGAAAAAACAGGAGATTAAGCGCGAGTCTTTTCAAAAAGGAAAATACAATTTAAAATGTAGCTCACTTGATTCTAACCGTAATTTGGATCGATTGATGACATGCGCTTATTTGCATACGTTTACAGTGATTCTTATGCTAACATTTCATAGATCTGAAAACACGCCCAGTTTCATCACCTTTTTTCTCACTCACTTGTATGAAAAAATCTATTTGAAAAGTGTTTCAGCTCTTCTGATGCCGCGAACAAGGATTTTGGTTTTTATTCAAGTAAATTGTTAGTTTTCTAGGTTTAAGTGTAATTTGACATGTTACATTATTTGAATAAAGTCTCTGTGTTAGACAGTTAGACTGACTGTCACCAATCCTGGCATGTACCCTTAGAGTCATATGGAAAGTGACAAAGAGGGGGTCGGCGTTCGGATAAAATTCCCTTAAGTCATCTCCGTGGGCCTCTATATCTTCCCCGTGTGCTGAACTGGTATATCAGTTTCACATAAACATCTGGAAAGTCCTTTGAGCTCTTGAAAGTGTGTTACTGGGTTTGTTTGAACTAATGTATGTTATATTTAATAATAATAACAGAGTTACTAAACTGAAGAAGGTGTTTCTAGTAGTTGTTAGACTTTTAAGAAGTTATTGTGATTGGCATAGAGCATCTTTGATGAACTACAGTTTGGATACGTGTGTTAAAATGTGTGAAGATCTTTAAAAGCAAAACCTACAAGTGAAACCTATCAACTGCTTAGCTTAGATACAATTATTATTTTTTATTCACAGTGTGAGAGAGAGAGAGAGAAAGATCCATTTTAGTGTTAAGGTTACGAGTTTTTAATGCATTGTACATATGCAGTCCATGCTTCTTGGAGTGTAGATTCGTAACTTCTTATCTATTTATCATACAAATGTATGACGAATATTACTGACGAATCATGATATCAGTGTGTTACCAAGTTTTTGTATGTTTTTAAAGTTTATATATATATTTTACACAGAACTTATTTTATTATATTTTTTATCCGAAGGTAGGACTTCTCAGTTTGGTTGCAGGTGCTAGATAGGTTAGGGTTAGCTGTGAAAAACAAAAAAACAGTTATTCATGAACTATGAAACTAATGATAAACCAAATTTTAAGGAAATAAAAACCATTCTGAAGATAAAGAACCTCATGAATACTATTTTCAACCCCATTTAATATTATGTATAGAAATATAGATTTTTTTTTATCGACGGAGCTGGCTACATTAACTTGACATATTTTGTTTTCGTTATAAGTAACTACTTATTACCTAAAACTACCGCTAGGTGGCTTGCTTACGTGTTTTTTTTTTATTCGCTCTAGAACTCGGCGGAACCTTTCCAAATGCTCCAGTCACCAACACTAAGAAAAGAGGGAGAACCTTTCAAATACATCACGTGAGTACCATGCGTGAGCGCGTGCGTTCACGTTCAGATGTGATAGAACACGTTCGAGAGTGTAATATATCTACCTTCTCCAAACTGTGGCTCTGCCGCGTGCGTTAGGATTTCTCGTAGGTTGAGAAGAGAAAATCCTTAAGTTTTAAACTTAATGACAACATAATTTCACCTATACTACACTTCCGGCTTTACTGTCTCGACGAGCAGAAATTAAGGTCGTCTAATTGTTAGTAAAAGCTTTTGTAAGTGAATTTAAAAAAGTAACAATAAGAGAACATTTTAAAGATTTGTTATCATATACAGCCAAATAGAAAAAGGAGCAACGGTAAGTTTGTTTATCGTGTACAAGATTTAGGTTTGATGTGCTTTATATTTAAGTAACAGCTGCATATGTTAAACTGTAACAACGTATTTATAATATATATATATTAGATATTTAAATAGACGTTTTTAGGCTTAAGGGCACGTGAAATGCAGTCGCAACTGTTCGTTTGTTTTCTTCTGACTTCCAAGTGAATTAAGCTACTACATCATGTTATTAAAATAGAATTTTGAGAAATAAAACTCCCAGATACACTGACTGGAAAGATTAAACAGTTTTTTGGATAATACATTAAGATAAACTAGCTAATAAGTCTAAATACTTTCTTTGGGATCAATCTCGCGGATAAACTGATATTCTATGAAATATAACTGAAGGATATACTGATTAGTAAGATTAAATAGTTTAAACTATTCTGTAGATAAAACATTAGATAAACGAACCAGTAAGGCTAAATAGTTTAAACTAGTTCGTGAGATAAAACTCAAAGGTAAATATTCAGTAAGGCTAAATAGTTCAAACTGGGTTTTGAAATAAAACTCAAAGTTAAATAGTCAGTATGACGGGATAGTTTAAACTAGTTCGTGAGATAAAACTCAAAGGTAAATAGTCAGTATGACGGAATACGTAGTTTAAACTAGTTCGTGAGATAAAACATGAAGGGATAGTTTAAACTAGTCCGTGGGATAAGACTCAAGGGTAAACTAAGCGATGTGGTTGACTAAACACTGTATGAATAAAGTTGTCACATGAAAACCGTATCCTGTTACGGATAATTTAAAGCAAAGAGTATTGACACATTTGGAATGAATAGGACTAACCATATAATGGAATCTTTTTAGGTAATAGAATTTGTAAGGGAAGTAATGATTTTTAAGATACCCGTTTAAACATGTTTGTTGTTGAGTTTTAAAAACACGTTAATTGCTAAAAGTGATAGCTAACTTTTAGTGTCAGCAATATATTATATTTTATGTTATGCGTAGCATTTTATCCCACGAAAATTGTGACAAACTGTTACGCTTATTTATTAGGATCCTAATTTGCAGTTTTTATATTAACTTACAAAAAAAAGATATTTTTATAAATATTAAATAAATAATTTTCAACATGAAACCTGTATAATAACAGTTCCTATCTACAAAAAATATCTTTAAAAAATTGCAGTTCCAAAATTACAAGCGGTTCAATCGACCAGGTCTGCCTATGCAGATGTAATGATTAAATAAACTATATGCCATCCACTAATTGGGTCTGCCTATGCAGATGTAATGATTAAAGAAACTATATACCATCCACTAATTGGGTCTGCCTGTGCAGATGTAATGATTAAAGAAACTATATGCCATCCACTAATTGGGTCTGCCTATGCAGGTGTAATGATTAAAGAAACTATATGCCATCCACTAATTGGGTCTGTCTATGCAGGTGTAATGACTAAAGAAACTATATGCCATCCACTAATTGGGTCTGCATATGCAGGTGTAATGATTAAAGAAACTATATGCCATCCACTAATTGGGTCTGCCTATGCAGGTGTAATGATTAATGAAACTATATGCCATCCACTAATTGGGTCTGCCTATGCAGGTGTAATGATTAAAGAAACTATATGCCATTCACTAATTGGGTCTGCCTATGCAGGTGTAATGATTAAAGAAACTATATGCCATCCACTAATTGGGTCTGCCTATACAGGTGTAATGATTAAGGAAACCATATGTCATCCACTAATTGGATCTGCCTATGCAGGTGTAATGACTAAAGAAACTATATGCCATCCACTAATTGGGTTACTGAGTAAACAATTTGATCAACAAGAAATATTTAAGTCCGTGTATCATTAGGAAAACATATATATTTTATATATGGTAAAATTCCCGATGAATTTGCATTTTAACAGTTTGAGAATGAAGTTCAAATATTATAAGGACTGTAGATGATTATTTTTAATTTCCTGCAAACTCTGAATTTGCGGGTAAACAAACTGGGAGCAACCAAATATCTTTGATTAATCATAATAGCTTTTGCAACACCTCATAGGTTCTGGTTTCGGTTGTTCGAGGGTTAAAGTATATTATTTGTTAAATAATTAAGTATAAAAATATGCTGACAGTCAAAAGAAATATTTTTTTAGATCTAGATAATCAGCTGTTGCTTCACGTTGTTAAACTATAAGTATGCATTAACATGTGCTGTGTGAATAAAAACTCAAAACACATGACGCTCATTCCGTTATTTGGACCTGTGAATTAGGATTTTCAAGAGGTTGAGACCTTTGACTAAGAATTATAAAAGTTTACTTCTTGGAGTGCGTTAAAACTATGAATACGTTTGATTTTAACAACTTGTATAACAAAATAAACTAAACAAAAAAAGAGTATTTTATGGACATCATCACATGCCAAAAACTTCTTAGTGTTAACTTCGTAATACGTTTGCACAACCAATACAACTTCATCCCACAAGTTACTGATGTGTATGTATTCGAACTTGATTTTTCATTCATAATAAACGTTAGTAAGGAAGACTGTAATTAAGCTATATACGTTAGTCGGTGTTGTGTATATATATATATATATATAC